TCCACCGTCACTCGGCAACTGCACCAAACTGAATACTCTCAACCTGTTCAATAACAACTTCTCAGGCCCCTTGCCTGAGTCCTGGTCTCAGCTCACGGCGCTCGAGTACTTCAGAATCGACAGCAATAATCTAAGCGGTACACTGCGGCCGCTGGCATCGATGAAGCGGCTGCAGACACTGATGTTCGGATACAACCAGGTGAGTTTGACCTGCCGCAGATGTAGCAGTCGAACTTTCAATACATCTTTCAACCGTTGCCTGTTGCCCAGTTGGAAGGCCCACTGCCCGCCGAGCTCGGCGGCTTCACTGAGCTGCAGGAAATGCGTGGGGCGGTCAACAGGTCGGCTTAGCCAGGCATCAGGTGGACACGTGCTCTGTACACTTGGTGTGTATCTATGCCTTCAGATTGACAGCTCTGCCGCCCTCTATCGACGGCTGGAAGAAAGTCTCTTTCATCGATTTACGCAGCAACGCCATTCAGGACCGCCTCCCTCCGTTTGGCCAGGCATCAGCCCTCCGAGAGCTGTATCTGGCCGACAACCAGATCGAAGGCTTCACCGACAACGGAACCATGCCAGAAGGGTATGCAGACGGGCAGAGAATGACACGGACAGTGCATGTTGTCGCAACTTCACGCTCTCACCTGCAGGCTGGTCACGTTGAACATGGAGTTCAATCGGCTGACGTCAGTCCCGGAAGGTTGGAACAGCATGCCTGCGTTGGAGGAGATATTTCTCAAGGGCAATCAGCTCACCGGATGGCCGACGTGGGGGAGGACTCCAGCGCGATTTTGTCAGGCGAATGCTCGCAGTACGTGTGTTTGTGCTTCTCATTTTCCTTCGGGCTGCATCGCTTGTCACTTGCTTTGCATTTGTTGGGCAGTCACGCCGCACATCACCCTGTACCTGCTGGCACTGCCGGCGCCTCCCTACTGGCCGGTCATCCAACGGGTGAGTGTGCACCGCACCGAAGGGCACTCAGCAACGTCACTGTCACTATGTGAGCTGCTGACATATGTCGATCTTGCAGGCTGACTTCTCGGGCAATCCTTTGGGCGTTGAAGTGAGAGACTTCATGCAGACGTTTCGCGAGCTCAACACGTGAGAAGAAGAGACACTCACCGTCGGGTCTCATGTGGAGATGTGCTTCTTGTCTGTGTAGGTTGATGACTTTGAGCTGCGCTGGCTGTGGTCTCACGGGGCGGCTGGACTGGTAAAGGGGGTTGAGGCACACACACATATCGACCCGTCCACTATTGCCCTTTTCCCCTCAGCGACTCGGTGACCTTCTACGACCACAGTAGTCTGTCAAGATATGGCAACACAGAGTTCACCGAAAGATCCGTTGTAAGGAAATATGCACACACACAGACTCTGCTCAGCCCTACATCACCCTCTCCTTGTGTTAATGTGTGCAGGCCGCCTACCCGACTCTGCGCCCGGGGTTCGTTTCTCTGACGCGGCTCTTCCTCAGCCACAACTCGATTGTCGCCCTGGATGAGTTGCGGCTGAGGAACCTGGCGCGTGCTGACCTCTCGTCAAACGCTCTCGAGAGCGTCCGCGGTGATTGGCTTGCCGGCCTGGACGTCAGAATCGATGGCAACCCAAATCTCAGAATCGACCGTATCGATGACAGCCTGGACATACAGGTGGGTCAGGCGGACCAGGCCGGTCGAAGGCCCATGACATGAGGTCCCACCGTGTCTGGGTGTCTACTCTGTTTTGCCTGCAGAGCTGTGAGGACGTGTTGAGCCTCAAGAACGTCTCCGCTGACACACTGGTGCCAAACCCTGCTGGTGAGGGAACACATTCACGGAGAGCCTAATGTGTCTGTCTTTGTGTGCAGCGTATGTTCCCCAGAGAGACCCGAAAGGCCTGTCGAACTCAACTTACGAGTGCACCACCCTCTGCAACACTTGGATAATGGTCGACTTCAGCGTGGCTGAGGAGAAGCTCTGCCGCTGTCTGCCTGGCTACAGCGGCACGGGCAAGGCCTGCACCATGTGCCCAGCGGGCACCCACAGCAACAGACAGGTCGGCACACAATCGTGCCAGCGATGCCCCGATGACGCAGGTGAGCGCCAACACGAACAGACTCCCAATCTGCGTTCTGTTGGTCTACGCGTATGTTTGACAGGTTCTGAGGAGGGCTCGGCCGCCTGTTTCTGTCGTCTTGGCTACGAGAAGAGGGGCAACGAGCCCTGCGAGCCGTGCACGGCGGGATCTGTCGGCGTGCGCAACGCCGGCAGTGACGGAAGTCGCAGCAGGTGGATCTGCCAGGACTGTCAGGAGGGATTGGACTGCTCCGTCCCCATCAACTACAATGCGAGTGTGCTGCCAAGGTTCTTCCAACTCACTGCCCGCCTGCAGTCGGCCGGCGCATCCCCCAGTGCCACACGAGAAGTGACGACGTAAGAAGCAGGACTGAGGGGCAAGTAGGCATTTGCCATGGTGCCGTCTGCGCTTTCAGGTATAGCGCCGGTTTGACCGAGCTGCCCATAGTCATACCGTGCCCATTGCCGGCGTCGTGCAGAGGCACTGACAAGGCATCTGGACTCAACATATGCTCGGTGAGAGCCAACAGCTGTCCTTTCTCCCAGGCCGTCACCACTGTGACATGTCTGTGCATCGTCTTTGTGTCAGGAGGGCCATGAGGGCTTTGTGTGCAATCGGTGCAAAAGGGGCTTCTCGCGGCAGACGCCCCAGCAACCGTGCGCCCCATGTGCCGCCCTTTGGCAGATCGTCGTGGTCAATGTGTTGCTTGTCGTCGCCACTCTGCTGGCCATCTTCATTCTGACGGCACTCGCTGAACGGTGGGCTGGTGTGATGCGCATAATCATCTGCCAACTCGTCTGTCTGCATGTCTGTGTTATAATCGTTTGTGCATGGCGTGCCACACATTCAGCGCCGCGGCCACACAAAGGGCCGAGGTCCCCTCCCAACTCACCAAAATCGGACTGTCGCACATCACCGCCGTACGCAATGCACTCACATCGCTCGCAGGACGTCCCCCACCGGTGTGCGCATGTGTGTGTGCAGGTATGTGGGCTGGCCTTTCTCGTGTTCGACGAGTCCCTCTGGGGCGATCAGATATCCTCGCTGGTCAGATCCTTTTTCGGATGGAGTGGCGGTGTTCCGCAAAGCTATCAGGTGGACATGTGCAAGAAAACACTCAAACATGTCCGCCATGCCATCCGCCGTCCGTCCGTCATCGACCACCCTTTCCTTACAGGTCTGGGAGTGTCTGTTGAGGCCATACGTGGGCGACAAATGCGTGCTCTATCGCCATTCTGTGTGGTTGGGGCTACCACTGATCTGGCTCACTGCCGTGCCCCTCGTTGGTAGCGACAAATGCCCTCAACCTAAGAAGCGATCCACTGTGGTCATTTCTCCTTCCTGTCGTGTCATCGAGTGCAGCGAGTGGGTTTGACAAAGTGCGCGAGGCGCTCAAGTCGAAGCGGCGCATCGGCACCGACGATTCATTCGCCACCGACACCTACCTCCGGGCCCTCTCAGCGCCGCCATCGGTCACCAACGAAAAGGCACACAAGGCCGCCGCAGAGGGTCCTTACCAACGAGCAGTCACATTCCAGGAGTCGGCAACCGAGCCAGAGACGCCCGCCTCGTGCCAACACTCCCTGGCGGAGCCCCGCAAGAGCGGCCGATGGCGGCAGTGGCTCGACGACCGCGGCACCATGATGGTCGTGATTCTCACGTTCATTCACCCCACCGTCACCAAGAGTATGCTAGCCCTCCTGCGCTGCCGATGGTATCCCTATGTGCCCGATGTGATCCCTATCGC